CAAATGCTCCAGCATGACCAACAAATCCCTAGCTCTCCAGCGCCCTCTCTAGTCATCCTCTGGCTGGGTCTGCTTTTCCAGGATGGATTTTGGTTCGTCCCAGCTGTTGCCCCTGTCGTTTGGCCTGGGACCTCTCTTCACTTCCTCTGATTCATCTTGCTGGTTTCAGCAGGGATACCACTATATCCACGCTCCCCCAGCTTTGGGCAGGATGCTTTCCTGTCTGCACCCCGACATCTTCAAGGCAGAACTTTGCATTCACAATGACGCGGGCTGCTCCCCTCTGTCCCCAGCCGTGTTTCAGGCAGGGTTGTACCCTGGTGGCTAGGAAAGTGCCTGCCACGTAGATTGATTGATTAGAAAAACAAACCTCAGTTCCCATTCTGCCTTCATTTCTCCCACCCCCTCCCCTTTTAAAAGACTTAAGTTTCTTTGAGCAGCCTTAGGTAGGTGCACAGCAGAATTGAGAGAAGGCACGGAGAGTTCCTGTATGACCCCACCGCCAGCCAGCCTGCTCAACACCCCCCACCAGAGCTGTGCATTTGCCACACTGAGGATCCTGGAAGGACACCCCATTGCCACCGAGGGCCCATTGTTGATATCAGAGGTCTCTTGGTGTTGTAGCCCGTGGATTTGGACAAATACTTGATGATGCATAGCTACCATGACAGTATCAGAATAGTTCCACTGCCCTGAAAACACCACTCTGTCTATTCGTCCTTCCCTTCCCCGGATTCCTAATAACCATTGATCTTTTTGCTGTCTCTATTGTTTTCCCTTTTCCAAAATGTCCCATAGTTGGAGTGATATCTGTGGGTTCCTCCATATGAGGTTCCTCTGTGTCTTTTAACAGGTTGCTAGCTCACTTCCTGTTACCACTGAATAATATTCCATTGTCTGGGTGCCTCACCCCCCACCCCCTTAGTTTTTTCTTGTTTTTGGTGCTGGGGATCGAACTCAGGACCTGTGCTTGCCAGGCAGGCACGGCGTCCCTGAGCTAAATCCCCAGTCCCTCAACCCCTCAGTTTTTACAACAGAGAGAGGGCACTTCTTCGGTCTCGGTGGGGCTGCTGTTGGGCTAGAGCTGGTGTTGTGCTGAGTAGTTTGGTGTTCATCCATCATTCCCCAGCTTTCCCTTCTCAGCCCCTTCTGGGCCTGGCCCACATTAATACTTGATTATTCGCGGTCTTCATTGACTACCTTAGCCTGTCTGTGCCAGTTTTGCTTCCTTAATGGTATTAGTAACTTTTTTGAGCACTTATCATAAACTAGACATGTTCTAAGTACATTTATTCTTTTACCCACCAAATACTTATTCAGCACCTGTGTATTAAACACTTAGTACTATGAGCACAGCAGCTAGCAACCCACAAAGCATAACTCCTTTGCCTTCGTGGAGCTTGTATTTGATAGAAACAAATGAATGAGTAAGTGTATACTCCAGCAGGTGGTGATAGGTGCTGGGAGAAAAACAGATCAGAGTAGGAGGTACATAGAGTGTAGAGGTTGCTATTACGCATGGGGAGGACAGGAAGGACTCACACGTCAGGCAACGTTTAAGCAGAGAGCTAAGAAAGTTGAGGAAAGTGATGGGTAGTCATGGGCTAGGGGAGAGCCTTCCAGACCAAGGGGCAGCAAGTGCAAAGGCCCTGAAGCCGGCCACAACTGGCCTGCTCCAGGAAGATCCAGGAGGGCAGCATTGGAATAGAGTGAGCCAGGGGAAAGGAGTTGGAAGTAAGGTTCTATAGAGCAGTGCTGAGTAGAAGTATCCTATGCAGCCAGGTGAAGTGGCGCACACCTGGAATCCCAGCTACTTGGGAGGGTGAGGCAGGGGGATTGCAAGTTGGAGGCTAGTCTGGGTAACTTGGTGAAGATCTGTCTGAAAACGAAACAAATACAAAAGGGCTGGGAATGTAGCTCAGTGTAAGAGTGCTTAGTTAGCATGCCTGAGGGCCAGCGATTTATTTAGTTCAGTGATTCCACTGCCTGCCCCCAGAAGTGCAAGGACCCGAGTTCGATCCCTGGTACCAAAAAAAAAAAGAAAAAAGTAAAATGGCAAGCATGCCTGAGACACTGGATCAATCCCTACTTAAAGAAAAAATTTAATGTGCATCACTCTCATGGAATTCTAAATATTTAAAAAACCACATTAAGTGGTAAAAAGATATAGGTGAAATTAATTTTAATATTACATTTGTAGAACATCCTTTGGATATGTAAGCAAACTAAAAATTATTAGTGAGCTATCTACTTTTTCTTATGTTTTTCAAAATCTGGTGTATTTCCAAATCTTGCCTACGCATTTGAATTACCCTAGCAACATCTCAAGTTCAGAAGCCACATGTGCCTAGGGGCTACCATATTGTACAGCACAAATATAGAGCCTTACAGATCATGCCAAGGCCTTTGAATGAGATGGGGAAACCAGTGAATTCTTTGGGTCCAGGAATGGTATCTCTTTGCCTTGGCTTCTAGGAAATTCACTCCAGCTGCTGTGATAAGAGGGTTTTGTCATGGGGTCGGGGATAGGAGGATTAGGAAGGAAGTTTTTTTTTTTTGAAGGAAGTTTTAATGAGGCACAGAGTGATGGCATCTTGGACCAAGGTTGCAGCGGTGGTAGTAGCGGGGAGTGGTGAGTTCCAGATGTGTTTTGAAGGCAGAACTTCCAGGTTTTCCTGCTGTGCTGTGTGAACAAGAGAGGAGTGAAGGATGTACAGAGAACTTTGGCTTGAGCTACTGGAAGGACCTGGTTGTTTGCAGCAGGATGAAGAAGACTGTTGGGTGGAGGGTAGCCTTGGGGGTCTGGGTGTTCGTTTTTCAGGTGGAATTGTTAAGTAGGAGTTGGACAGATGGATCTGAGGTCAGGTGAGGGGTCTGGCCTATGAAGGGTGTTTAGGGCCTCCAGGGAGCAGGTGCACAGAGGGAGGACTGAGCCAGCAAGGAAGGGTGAACAGGGAGTGCTGGGAGGTGGAGGGAGGCCCCCAGAGGGTGGAAGGCAAGAGAGGAAGGGGTTCAGGGCTGCTGATAGGCTGGGAAAGGTGAGGATTCCTGGTCACTGAGGAGAGAGGTGGGGCAGATGCCAGACTGAAGTCCAGGTGAGAATTGGGAGGAGAGCAGCAGACAGCTGGGACAGACAACTAGCTTGAGTGGTTCTGCTTCAAAGGGGAGCAGTAGAAGAAAGGGTGGTAGCTTAAGAAGGGTGTTTGATCATGAGGTCACGAGGTCTTTTTTTCATTAAAGTTGGGAATGTAGTGTCAATGGGATTGTTCTATAAGAGAGGACAAAATAATGATACAGGGGAGAGAGAAAATAATGAGTAACATTATTTATTCTTGCACTGACCCTATGCAGTAGGCACTGTTTTGCAGACAAAGAAACCCAGTCAAAGAAAGGTTCAGTCACTTGCCCAGGGTCACAGGGCTAATGGGTTGCAGGGCCAGGAGTTGAAGGCTTGTGGCTTAGTTCTTAAAGGCCCAGTCCTGGCTGCTGTGCCATTCTACTTCTTGGTTTCCTACCTGGAGTGGCCAGCTGTTCTAGGGTGTGGCCTCCTGTTACAGTTTTTGCTCAACGCAGCATCCAGCAGAGGTCTGTGCAGCGGTGGGATTTAGAGCTCTAATGCTGTGTATGCTCTGTCGTCACCAGGACCCTGCACAGGAGGGAAACTAGGCCCCCACCAGCCTCATTCCACCCCCAACCCCGGTGGCATGGCCGTGTATGAAGTGTGGGTGGAGAGGCTGACGCTCCTCATAAGCCCTAAGCTGATGGTTCTCCCTCGTGTACCTGGTGCTGGGTGGCTGGGTTCCTGCTCGGGTTTGCTTCCCTGGTGCTGAGCGACACTCAGGGCCTCCATTTCCTTATCTGCAAAGAGCTTGGGTTGGATGATCACCCACAGGCTCCCACCAGGTGTCTCAGGAGGACGTGCAGATGGGGTTCTTCCTCCAGGCCAGAGGCAGATGGTCAGGTAGTGCCAGTGTCATGTATCTCCTGAGACTTACAGGGAGGGGCAGCCACCACAGCGGGAGCGTACAATTTCTGGGAACACTGTTGAATGCCCAAGACGTTCTGCTTCATGGGCAGTGGCAAAAACTCGAGGGTGTGGCACTAATGCCAGCGTCTCAGCACATCTGCCCTGCGGTTGGCTGTGTGCTCAGCCCAGGTTTGGCCTAGGGGCAACCTTGACTTCAACTTGCAGGACTCCCAGCTCAGGGGTTCCTTTTTGGGTGGCTGTAGCAGTCACCCGCTCTGGATGCAGGGGGTGGGCATTTGAAGTGTCTCAGGGCGGTTTCCATGGCCACGATGGTGGGGGTGAGGATGGTGGTTGTGGGACTGCTCCTACCCTGGCTGCTGAAGCCCCCATAGTGAGCATTGCCCCACCTGTCCCACTCCAAATGCTCCCTGACTGTGCTCAGGTGTGCTGCTCCTTGAGCCAAGCGTGTTGTTTCCTGCATTTGTAAATAGGGTCAGGCACAACCAGTTGCTTGTCTCCAGGCTTGTGGTAAGTTTAAGATGAGACTTTGGGTTAACAGCCAACATCCTAACAGCCCCTCGCATGTGCTGCTCATCCCACGCCTGCGCTACCCTGAGTGCTTTTTTTCTTTCTTTTTTGCGGTACCGGGGATGGAACCATTGCACTGAGCTACATCCCCAGGCTGTAAAACAAATTTAAAAAAAACATTTTGAGACAACATCTTGCTAAGTCACTAAGTTGCCCAGACTGGGCCCAAATTTGTAATCTTCCTTCCTCGGCCTCCCAGAGTTCTAGGATTCCAGATATTGCAGTATCCCACCTGACTATTCCTGAGTTCGTTTTGGGCTTGCGTACTAACTCTTAATCTTTATTGCAGCCTTGGGGGTTAGGTCTTGGGAAGTGATCCCTATTTCACAGATGAGGAAACTGAGCAAAGAGCAGGCATGTAAAAGCACATCAATCTCAGGCTGCTGTCTTCCCCCACCCCCATGCTGATGGGGGACCCTGACCTGTGCTTGACTCCTTCCTCCAGGGACAGGGGCAGACCCGGCTGTCAGTGCCAAGAGCAACCATTGCCTGGACGCTGCCAAGGCCTGCAACCTGAATGACAACTGCAAGAAGCTGCGCTCCTCCTACATCTCCATCTGCAACCGTGAGATCTCATCCACCGAGCGCTGCAACCGCCGCAAGTGCCACAAGGCCCTGCGCCAGTTCTTCGACCGCGTGCCCAGCGAGTACACCTACCGCATGCTCTTCTGCTCCTGCCAAGACCAGGCCTGTGCTGAGCGCCGCCGGCAGACCATCCTGCCCAGCTGCTCCTATGAGGACAAGGAGAAGCCCAACTGCCTGGAGCTCCGCAGCCTGTGCCGAACCGATCACTTGTGCCGGTAAGAGCATGCATCTCAGGGTGTTGGCTTCAGGGGGCTTGTGGTGGGGCTGGTGTTGTCCCTCTTCCACATCCACTGGGGAGTCCACTGGGTCATGAGTCAGCCCAGCAGGAGGTGTCAAACAGGTCCAATCCACTTGGATATGTGCAAAATCAGCTGTCCATTCTTTCCATCCATCTATCCATCCGTCGATTTATCCATCTATCCACCTGTGACCATCCATCCATCTGTCTGTCCATCTGTCCGTCCATGCATCTGCCACTCATTTTCTGATTTGCTCATTCATTGAACTCAGCTTTATAGTTTGTCTGCTCTGTGCCTAGCCTCATGTTAAGAACTTCGAAGGAAGCCAGTAAGCCATCCAAAGAGGTTATAATTTAAAATCATAGGGTCCTGGAGTCATGGACAAAAAGAAATGATCTTCAGAGAATTTGATCCCACTTCTAAAGCAAGTCCCAGCCTTGTGACCCAGCAGTGGAAGTTGCTCTCATAGTTTGAAGAGCAGCTTATTACAGACTGAGAGCTGAACAGGCTAGTGTTGGGGGAAAGAATCGGTTCTGGAGTCTGATGATGTTGGGTTTGAATTCTGACTACCAGTTACTAACTGTGTGACTTTAAGCCATTTTTAAAGATTTCCTGAGCCTCCATCCCTTCATCTAGGAAACAGGAATAGCAATACCCATATCACAGGGTTATTGTGAGCATTAGATTGCATGTGTCCACAGCTTGGCACAGAGCCTGCACTATAGTACATGCTTACTAAATGTAGCCCAGTTGTTAGGAAGTGGGATTTTTTTTTTTTTTATAGAGAGTGGAAGTTTGGCTCCTTAAACATGTTTTTCCTGTTTGTTATTAAGCATTTGTCAGCCTCTCTTGCATGTAGCACTTGGTTCTAAGGCCTGGACATACAGAGATGACCTTGATGCTCTCCAAGGAACACGGACTTCATCAGGGAAACAGACAAAGACATTCAGTAGGATGTAGCTGGAAGCTACCAAGGAGGAGGGGCATCTGCCTCAGTCTAGGGGTCCAGGGAAGGGAACCTTGAGCAAAGCCTTGGTAAATGATAAGGAGAAAGCACAGGAAGAAGGCAACCAGAAAAGTCCAGAGAAAGAGAGAGAGAGAGAGAGAGAGAGAGAGAGGGAGGGATCGGAGAAACTGCAGGGAGTGGGTACGTGTAGGTGGGGCACGATGGAGAGGCTGTTGGAGAAACAGGAATTGCAGTAGTTGCAGGTGTTTAGATATTGTCTGCTGTGTTCTAGACATTGTTCTAAAAGCTTCACGTCACAATCATGCAACAAGGCTACAAAGCCAGTGCTGTTTTCATCTTTATTTGTCAGTTGAGGGAATAGAGAAAATCATTTGCCTAAGGTCACTCAATGCACACATTTCAGAGCTGAGAGTCACATGATAACTTCTTTCTTGCCACTGTGACATACTGCTCTGGACTAAGGTAGTGGCTGTGGGGATGGAAATTGTGGATTGTTTCAGAAGAGAGTGATAAATAGACTTGGATGTGGCAGGATTGGGTGACTGGCTGCAGTTCCTTGGAGGCAAGAACCATTTCTGTTTTACTTACTCCACACCTCGTCCAGCACATAGAGCCTGGTACTTGGTGAGCACCCTGTAAGTATTACTTAAATAGATAAGTGAATGGCATCTGTATCCACCATGTTTCCCAGTTGAATAATTATGGGGTGATGGATTAATTGGGTGAGAGTGGTGTTGAACACACAGTGTTTGAGGAGACTCTGGGGAAACCATTGCCATTCCCATGGCAACATCTGGGGGGCATTTGGATGAATGGATCTGGAGCTCAGTAATGAGGCTAGGTTTAGAAATTCTTGGGCTCCTTGTTGGTGATTAAAACCACAGCAGTGGGTGATGTTTCTGGAGGGTTTGGTGGAGATGCCTGCAGATTTGAGCAACGTTGGAGTTCAGGTGGTAAATGAAGCCATCAGTGTGGGTAGTGAGGGCCAAACTATGCTGGAAACATGGGGGCATGTGGAAGGGAAGGCAGAGGAAGTGGCAGTGTGAGGCAGGGTGGCTGGGAAGTCAAAGGACAACAGAGCAGAGAGTGGGCCCAGAAACTAAAAGACAGGAGGTTTCATGGGGAAGGAGTGGTAAAGCTAGCACCTTACAAAATGCATGCGTGCGTGTGTGTGTGTGTGTGTGTGTGTGTGTGTGTATTTGTGTGGTGCTCAAAGCTGATCGCTATGGGCACACTTCTGGCGGGGAGGCAGAAGCAGAGGTGTTGGGTACAAATTGCCTTTTTCAGAAGGAAGCAGGGCTGAGGCCAGGGCCACAGGGGGATGTGGGCTGGGAGTGGCTTATTTTTTCCTGGTAGAGGTGGGCCTCTGTGTATATTCAAGGTGAAGTGCTGCTTTGTTTGGTTTGAAGTAGGAGCTCTGCTGGAGTTCAGAAGAGGACTGAGCATCGAGCTCGCTGCAGGGCTCAGGGAAAGCCCCGGTAAGGAGGTGGGCTTTTCTTTTCTACTTGCTTAAAAAATACACTTTCTACACAAATGGATTGAGGCGGTTTGAAATAAACCCATGTTTACAACAGTAGGAGGGTTCTCAGGAGAAACTGAGAGCCCTAGAAAGCAGGAGTGAGCAAACGCCTCTGCTATGTAGTCTGGCAGAGTGCTGAACTTGAGCTCTGAGCTTCCTGGTTGCTGGGGTCAAGAGGAAGCTGGACAGGCCACACAATCCCCAAAACATGATAGAAGGAGCATGCTTATTCTTAAATACAGACATATTTTCTCCTTGGACCAAATGCTAAAATGAAATTGCCAAGCTGCACCGTACATGGTGTGGAATAGTAACAGTTGAAGAACTGGGCCTTGAAGGAGCTGGGAAGGACCAGCTCGAGCCCCAGTTCAGGAATTCATGCATTTTCAGGGCCAGAAAGGTGCACCCAAAAAGCCAGAAGGCTGGCTGGGGATGGTAGTGCATATCTGTAATCAAAGCACTCTGCAAGGCTGAGGTAGCAGGACTGCGTGTTTGAACCCACCCCGGGCAACTTAGCAAGATCCTACCTCAATAAAAAATAAAAAAGAATTAGTGTTGTAGCTCAATTCAGAGGTCCTAGATCCTATCTTCCATACTGAAACCCCAGAAGACTTCAGGGGTCCTGCGATGGGGTTTTGGGGTTGTGCCAGTCAGATGTCAGAACTGAGTCTCAGGTAGAGAAGTGGCAGGACCTCAGCACTTGTATCGTTTTTTTTTTTTTTTTTGGTACCGGGGATCGAACTTGGGTCCTTGTGCTTGTGCAGCAGGTGTTGAAACCACTGAGCTAAATCCCCGGCCCTGATTTTGGGGAAGGTGGGCAATGGAGTATGTGGTTCCTGCCGGGCCCTTGGCCTGTGTGAGGTGGGAGAGTTAGAGTGGGGTGAATTTGGTGGCTTGGTCTGTTTTTTGTTTGTTTATTTTTCTGGAGATGGAGAACCCAGGAACATAACTATAATTGTCACATTGTAGAACCAGAAAGGATGTTTAAATAAGACAAAGTATTGGGAACATGGAGACCAAAGGAGGAGCTCTGGTGGCTAAGAGTAGACCGTTCTAAGAGGGACTGAGCCAAATGGAGAAGCCCCTTGCATCAGGATGTGGATTTCAATAGCAGCAACCCCAGAGCCATGGACAGAGCTGTGTTTAGATCATTGAATTAGGGACCCAACTTCCTTGGGGAGGCCTGGAGTCTCAAGAAGGAAATCCACACTGCTTCAGGATGTGGCCAGGTGAGCTCTTGTCTAGTACCAGGACATTTGTGTAACCCTCTGTTGCTCATCTCCCACTTCCTGCCCACCCACACGTAAAAGTGTGGTCTTTGGAGAGGGAAGGCAGGGATGAGGGCTGAACCTGCATGTAGGATGAGTCTGGCAGGGCCTTAGGGAATGTTGGTGCAGAGGGAAATGCCATTTAGGTACTTTGCTTGTCACTCAGGTGAGGCTTAAGGTGGGCTTCGAGATGTGCTGGGGAAGGGTCTGAGATGCAGAGATGGTGGATGGAGAGGTGGCCATGGTACCCTAAGTCAGAGCCATGTCTGTAGTCTCCTGAGTGGTCCTGAATGCACTGCTTCACACCGTTTGTTTCTTCACTGATCACACAAGAGCACTTCCAGGTCTGTGGATTTGAGTCCATCCAGGTGGGTTTTTTTTTTGGTACCGGGGAGCGACCTCAGGACCTTAGGCTTTTGAGGTAGGCACTGGAACCAGTGAGATAAATCCCTGGCCCTCTATCCAGGTGGTTTTGCACCTGCCTTCTGCTGCTTCTGCCCTACCTCTTGGGTTATGTTCCTGGACAGATGAGCTCTTGGCAGAAGAGGAAATGAACAAATGGCCATGGAGGTTCCTGCTCTCAGCACGAGGAGGTTACGGGTGGCTCAAGAGGGGCATGTAGAGAGTAGGAAGCTGAGCTTGGCTCTGCACGTGCCCTTCAGGAGATTCTGTGCTCTTCCTTCCTTTGCTGGACCTGTTCTCCAGGTCCCTGGCCTCCAGGATGGGCACCAGGGCCGGGAATCTTACGACCATGGAGAAGCCCAGTGCTGTGGTGTTTGGAGCAGGAGCTGGAGACCCCCACCAGTTGGATACTTTAATGAATGAAGCTGGCTTGATGGGGTCATGGGAAAGCATCTCAGGACGATGATTCTTTGGAAACACAGCTCCTGCCTGTGAGCATCTCCCAGAACAACCCCTGTGCCCCAGGGCTGTAGTGCTTAGTCCTGACTTCACTAGGCCTGGCAGGGCCCCAGTCCCTCATTCTGTTTTGGGAGTTGTCCACTATGCTGGACTTCCTGGCATCCTGTCCCTCCTGCACCACATTAGAGCCAGTTCATTGCACTGCTGTAAGGCACACCTGGCAGCAGGCCTCGTATGTCACTGGTGTGGGATTCGCCTGTGTGATGTGTCGCAGACTCTGCAGTGCTGTCTTAGTAAATGTCACTGCTGTAAAGGCTTGGAGGTTTTCCTTGATCTGGAGTTTGAAGAAGCCTTCATTAAA